AATTCTCAGAATGTCACTTCTGCATTCTATTAATCAAAGCAAGTCACCAGCCAGACCAGATTCAAAGGGTAGGGAAACAAATGCCACCTCATGATGGGAAAAGGAGCATTTGTGAACAGATTGTAGGAGGCATTGTTGGCAGCCATCTTTGGAGACAACCTACCACAGCTTTCAAGAGCTAATCTGATAAAGCTAAACACTGCTCATGAGAGAATGCTAGAAGACTCCTCCATCTTCCACAGAGAAGAAATGTCTTAACCTTCAGGTATCTAATCTTGGGATTGACTCTTAATGACTCTACAATTGAGTGAGGAGGAGGAGGCATCATACACATTAGGGTACAAGTGAAGGGGAAGAAGCTGAGGAGGTTTTACAATAAAACTATTCTGAGTGTTTTCTAACTAGTCTGCTCTTCCAGACTAAGCTTCAGATAAGCTATAGTCTACTTTTAGCTTTCTTTTGTGAATCAATACTTAAGTTTTTTTTAACATTGGGTTATTTTCTAGATTACTTTTAACTTCCTGGACTCTAGAACTAAGCAGCATTAGCATTCTTTGCTGTCTTGTCCCATCTGTTAACTTTTCTCTATAAGATGGAACATTTTACTAACACTATGTAAGTACTTAAAAATGCTTAAGTGACTAAGGAGAGTCTTGACTTTTAGTCTTCAGCGAGTACATAATCACTGGCCCTCTCAAAAATACCTCCTGGGATGAAGGAATCAGTCAACAAGAGGATATAACACTTGTAAATATTTATACATCCAACATAGGAGCACTAAATAAAGCAAATATTAAGAGACCGAAAGGGAGAAATAGACAGCAAGATAATAATAACAAGGGGCTTTAATACTCCACTTACACCAATGGGTAGATCATCCAGAAAGAAAATCAATAAGGAAACATTAGCTTTAAGTGATAGGTTAGATCAGATGGACTTAAAGAGATACCTATACAGAACATTCCACTCACAAGCAACAGAATATACAGCTCTTCTTAAGAGCACAGGGGACATTCTCCAGGATATATCATATGTTAGGCCACAAAACAAGTCTTAACAAATTTAAGACTGAAATCATATCAACCATATTTTCTGACTACAATGGTATGAAACTAGAAATTGGATATAAGAAGAAAAGTGGAAAATTCACAAATATATAGAGATTAAACAACATGCTACTGATCAGTGGGTCAATGAAAAAATCAAAGAGGAAATCAAAAAATATCTTGAGACAAAAGAAAATGGAAATACAACATTTGGATGCAGCAAAAGCAGTTCAAGAGGGAGGTTCCTAGCAATAAATGCCTACCTCAAGAAACAAGAAAAATCTCAACATAATTATACAACTCAAGGAATTAGAAAGTAAACAAAGTCCAAAGTTAGTAGAAGGAAGGAAATAACAAAGATCAAAGCAGAAACAAATAAAATAGGGACCAAAAAGACAATAGAAAGATCAATGAAACCAAGAGCCGGTTCTTTGAAAAGATAAACAAAATTGACAAACCAGTAGCTAGACTCACCAAGAGAAAAGTGACCAGGACTCATAAATACAACTGGAAACAAAAGAGGAGACATTACAACTGATACTACAGAAAGGCAAAGGATCATAAGAGACTACTATAAACAATTAAATGCCAACAAATTGGACAACCTAGGAGAAAGATAAGTTCCTAGAAACATATGACCTTCTAAGCCTGAATCATGAAGAAACAGGAAATCTCAACAGACTGATTACTAGGAAGGAGATTGAATCAATAATAAAAAAATCTCCTAACAAACAGAAGTTCAGGACCAGATGGCTTCATGGGTGAATTCTGCCCAAGTTCAAATAAGAATTAATACCAATCCTTCTCAAACTCTTCCATAAAACAGAAGAGGACAGAATACTTCCTAACTAATTTTATGAGGCAAGCATTACTTGACACCAAAACCAAACAAGGATACCACAAGAAAATTACAAGCCAATATCCTTGATAAACATAGATGCAAAAATTCTCAAAAAAAAAAAAAATTAGCAAACCAAATTAAACAATACATTAAAAGGATCTCATGTAGAATTGATTCCAGGGGTACAAGGATGGTTTAACTTCTGCAAACAAAGATACATCATATTAACAAAATAAAGGATAAACATGATCATCTCAGTATATGTAGAAAAAGCATTTGGCAAAATTCAACATCCCTTTATGATAAAAACTCTCAATGAAGAGGTTATAGAGGGAACGTACCTCAACACAATAAAGGCCATATATGACAAGCCCACAGATAATATCATACTGAGTGGTAAAAAGCTGGAGTCTTTTCTTATAAGACCAGGAATAAGAAAATGATGCATATTCTTGTCATTTTTATTCAGCATAGTATTGGAAGACCTAGCCAGAGCAATTAGGCAAGAAAAAGAAGTAAAAGACATTCAAATCATAAAGGAAAAGGTAAAACTGTCACTATTTGCAGATAACATGATATGATAATATAAAAAGTCCACCAAAGAGTCCCCCCCTCCAAAACTGCTAGAGCTCATAAATGATTTCAGTAAAGTTGCAGGATACAAAAGCAATATACAGAAATCTCTTGCATTTCTACACACTAACAACAAACTATCAGAAAGGGAAATTAAGAAAACTATCCCATTTAAAATTAGATAAAAAAAATAATAAAGATTCCTAGCAATAAATTTAACCAAGGAGGTAAAAGACTATAAACTGAAAATTATAAGACACTGATGAAAGAGAATATGACACAAAAAAATGGAAAGGTGTACCGTGTTCATGGATTGAAAGAATCAGTATTGTTAAAATGTCCACATTATCTAAAGCATTCTACAGATCCAGTGCAATTCGTCTCAAAATTCTAATGGCATTTTTCATAGAAATAGAACAAATGATCCTAAAATTTGTATGGAACCACAAAAGACCCCAAACATCCAAAGCAATGTTGAGAAAGAACAAAGCTAGAGGCATCATGCTCCCTGATTTCAAACTATATTACAAAGCTACAGTAATCAAAACAGTATGGTATTTACATAAAGACAGACACATAGATTAATGGAACAGAATAGAGAGCCCAGAAACAAACCCACAAATATATGGTCAGTTAATTTATGATAAAGGAGCCAAGGATATACAATGGGGAAAGAACAATCTCTTCAATCAATGGTGTTGAGAAAACTGGACCTCTATTTACACCATACATAAATATTAACTCAAAATGGATTAAAGACTTGAATGTAAGCTAAAACCATAAAACTCCTAAAAGAAAACATAGGCAGTAAGCCCCTTGACATGGGTCTTGGCAATGATTTTTTTGATTTGGCACCAAAAGCAAAGGCATTGACAGACAGCAAAAATAAACAAGTGTGATTACATCAAACTAAAAAGCTTCTATACAGCAAAGGAAACCATCAACAAAATGAAAAAGCAACCTACTGGATGGGAGAAAATATCTGCAAATTGTGTATCTGGTAAGAGGTTAATATTCAAAATATATGAAGAACTCCTACAATTCAATAATAAAAAAAAAAAACCCCAAAGCAACCCAATTAAAAAAATGGGGAGAAGATCTGAATAGACATTTTTCCAAAGAAAACCTACAGACGGCCAGCAGACACGTGAAAAGGTATCCAGCATCACTAATCATCAGGGAAATGTAAATCAAAACCATAAGATATCACCTCACACTTGTTAGAATGGTTCTTATAAAAAAGATAAGAAATGACAAGTGTTGGCAAGGATGTGGTGAAAAGGAGACACTGTGCGCTACTGGTGGGACTGTAAATTGCCACAGCCACTATGGAAAACAGTATGGAGATTCATCAAAAAATTAAAAATAGAACTACCATATGATCCAGCAATTCCACTTCTGGGTATTTATCCAAAGAAAACGAAAACACTAACTCAAAAAGACATATGCATCCCCATGATGACTGCAACATTATTTACAATATCCAAGATTCGGAAAAACCTAAGTCTCCATCAATGAATGAATGGATAAGGAAAATACACACACACAGAATATTATTCAGTCATAAAAATGAAGGAAATCTTGGGGCGCCTGGGTGGCTCAGTCGTTAAACAAGCGTCTGCCTTTGGCTCAGGTCATGATCTTAGGGTCCTGGGATCGAGCCCCGCATTGGGCTCCCTGTTCAGCGGGGAGTCTGCTTCTCCCTCTCCCACTCCCCCTGCTTGTGTTCCCTCTCTCGCTGTGTCTCTCTCTGTCAAATAAATAAAATCTTTAAAAAAAAAAAAAATTAAGGAAATCTTGCCATTTGTGACAATGTGGATGGACCTTAAGGACATTATGATAAGTGAGATAAGAGAAATACCATACGATCTCACTTATGTGTGGAATCTAAAAAATAAATAAAAACAAAAAACATTCACAGGCAGAGAACAGATTGGTGGTTGGGAGAGGCAGCTGTGAGTGGTGGGAGAAATGAGTGACTGAGGGTCAAAAGATACAAACTTGCAGTTAGAAAATAAGTCAGTCATGTGGATGTAATGTACAGCATGGTGACTGTAATTAATAATACTGTGTTGCATATTTGAAAGTTTCTAAGTGAGTGAAAGTTATCACAAGAAAAAAAATACTTTTGTTAATATGAATGTGATGGATGTTAACCAGAATTTCTGTGATGATCATTTTGCAGTATATCCATATATCAAGTCACTATGTTCTACACCGAAAGCTAATGTAATGTTGTATATCAATTACACCTCAAGAAAAAGAAAAAGAAAAAAGAATACCTCTTGGGAGCAATTCTTGGTAGTAATATCCAAGATGTTTCTTCTAGATGCACTGTTGAAATGGATAGCCTTTACTGCTATTCTTGTGTAGGTTTATAGAGTCGGCATCCATTCCCTTTTGATTGTCTTTCGAATCTGTTCACAGTTTGTAACTCCCCGTGAGGCCATGACACTCCCATCATTCCATTACCTGATATGAAGAAACTTCAAAGCGAATTAAAAGAAATGACACAAACTTTTTTCTAGAGGGGTCCTATATACATATATATAATATTTTATTTTAAAATGTCATTGAGCATATACATTTCTTTAGCTTTTTCCAGGGAACATCGCACCTAAGTTTCAAAACACACAAAATAGACCCCCTTTACTAAACAGTTTTCATTTTGGGGGGTTACAAATTCAAGGTTTCACAATCACAAAGCATAAAGGTACATAGTTCTGAAACCATTTTCAGGCAGATTCCTGTCATTCCCTGTACATCTGGCATTTTTGGAAACCCAGACCTTACAAATGATCTCCACTGTGGGCCTCCCTGGGTCTCCAGAAGAAACAGAGAAAATGGAAGCGAACAGAAATAAGAGAATTACCTCAGGACTCCCCAAACACAAAATACTATGGAAGGTCCGAAAAGTGGGGGGGCACAAGGTTCTCCTTCAAGTACATCACAGTAGAAAACAACAGCACATTTACAGCCTTATTTGGTCACTGTCTACCTGGTTGCTATGTGAACAAGACTTCATCTAAGACGCAGAGGAAAAATGAAAGCTATTTACACGTAACATCATGGGTTAGAAAGAGCAGTCGTGCCCAGACCGGCACTCAGATCTGACAAAGAGCTGCCATGGTGCTCGCCTGAGAGGCAAGGAGGCTGCTCACGTAGTGTCCTTTGAAAAATCCCAGTGTACGCATCTGCCACATCAGCCACGCCCATCCAGAGTCTGCCCTGCATGGTGGGCGGTGTATGGTGTGCAGACTCTCAGCCTTCTCTGCAATTGTGAAGTTCTCACAAATCCAAGTTTCTAAAGTAAGATTCTGTCCTGGGGCCAGATACTGTTTTCCTGTTTTCTGAGATCTGGTAAATTTTAGGGTCAGCCTGATTGTTCTTTGCATAGACAATGACTCTTCACTGCTTTCGCCAAGTGTCCCAGAAGCAGTAATTTACTGAAGACAGAATCTCATAAAAGTTTAACATATTCCCTCTGAGAACAGTGGTGCTGCTGGGTCACTTAAGGAAAGGTCAGATCCTCAAACTGTGGTGGAAAGAAACCACGGACCGCCCTTGGCCGTGTTGAAAACAAATGGATTGGCAGACAAGGAAGGAGGTGCAGGCTAGAGGAGAATCAGAATTTTAAAGATGTGGGAGTCTTTTTCCGTATGTTTCCATGCTAGTGCTCTTGGTAAACCAAAAATCCTGCCCGAATGGCCAAGATCTGAGGCCAAATCTGGGTCCCAAGACTCTCATCCCTGCCCACCAATACCTGCCTACAGCTGTAGTTGTCCCGAGACAGAAGTGAATACTTAGGAGTAAGAAGAAGGTGAGCGCAGCTGACTTCGCACAACCCCATAGAGGTAAGCTGCTAGGAATTAAAAAATCAAACACCCTAAATTCCCCAAAGTTGTGGAAAGGAACTGAAATTGCCACTTTTTGTAGTTTGTCCTAGTCCACAGCTGAGTACTTGGCCTAGCCAATTTTCCCCTCTCCCTTCCCATCCCAAGAAGGGCAGTTAGGTAAGCAGACCCACCGCAGAACATACCCTCCATCTCTGACTGCTGGCGCTGCTCTCACTGCAGGTGTCGTGAGAACAAGGTTTGGCTGTCGCCTGGCAAGAAGCTACAAGGTGTGGATGGAGTATGAGTTTGCTCTCTTTAAGGAAAAGACCCGTCCCCAAGTATTCCGAAGAGCAGGGTCCAGCCCAACAAAGAGATTTAGAACCGAAAGAGCCTTTCATTAGAGGAAGTGGCCATACATACCCCAAGACAACCATAAAGACTTGACTAGGAAATCGAAAGCTTTTTATTAAACAAGACTTCCTCTGAGGCTATTAGGACAAGCAGATTTGGCTATAAGTCAGATACACAAGATTTCAGAACCACATATAAATACGTTCTTCAGAATTTTGAGTCTGTTGCCTTTTGACCTCTCCAGGAATGCTCCAAGGGCCAACCCTGTTATGTAGACACAGTTGCTGCTCTTGGGATGAGATGGGACGGGGCCTGGGTGAAAAATAAAGCCAAACAGAGTAAGCTCAATTCACAGAGCAATATCAGTGCTGGGAAGATCTGCTATGGACATTAACACATCACTTTTTCCACATATGATTTATCCACCTCGTTTGTAATTTTCCTCCCATCCCCCAAACAGAAAGAGGGCTTGAGCTTTTTAACTAAGATCTTTCCACCAAGAAGGCTTATGACAAGAATTCCTGGATACCTTCCTAACTAAAACCAGCAGGACTAAATGCTCAAGACTTTAGGATAAATTGAAAAAGGGGGTTCCAGAATTTTTCCTGAGACATTTCTTGGCAGTATATGAATTGGTGACTTGAGTAGAGTAGAAGACTATCATGACATCTATGCCCAAAGTCGGACTCTGGTGGCTCAAATAAAAGTAGAAAAGTGCAAGGTAGGACCAACATCAAAGCGCAGGAGAGAAAACAGATGAAAGGCAATGGGAACACGGGAAAGAGGTGATTGCTTGTGAGGAGAGCTTCCCAAAGAAGGCAGTTCAGAGTCCTCCACAAAAAACTTTCTCGTTTTTGGGCGCCTGGGTGGCTCAGTTGTTAAGCGTCTGCCTTCGGCTCAGGTCATGATCCCAGGGTCCTGGGATCGAGTCCCATATCGGGCTCCCTCCTCGGCGGGAAGCCTGGTCTCCCTCTCCCACTCCTGCTGCTTGTGTTCCTGCTCTCGCTATCTCTGTCCCTGTCAAATAAATAAAACCTTTCAAAAAAAACCTTTCTCGTTTTCCCTTGTACCTGACTTTGAGTCAGGGCAGGGACAGAAGGTGAAACCACACTGTGGGAGATGCCTGCACATTGTCCCACAGCATCTTATTCTGCCAGAGGAGCAAATGGCTTCCCACAGATTGGTCCCCAAAGAGCCATCTGGGGTTGCTCAGATCTCCTGGAGGAGGAGGCAAGCTGTCAGATGAAGATGACCCCTGACAAGGTAGTAGTCCAATTCTTCCCAGGCAACATTTTGGCAAACAGCTGGTGGGTAAATCCCCAAGTACTTTACCTACCAGACAGGGCATCATTTCCACAGCGTGGAATGAATTCATTCCTGAGTAGAGAGGCTCCAGGCCTTTCCTACTGGAATATCTACAACTCCAGGAAGGTGACGAACTGTCCTGGAGGAAAGGTTCCTCTCATCTCCTCTCCTCTGGGGAAGGGACCCAGCAAACACGTGAACTGGAACTGGCTCTCCAGCAGTTTTGGGAATCACATCACCAACATTGTTCTTTACTGGGTGGGAAGAATGTTTAAATTACACAAAACTGTCAGGATGGTGATGAAACCACAGGAGGTGTGCAGGAAGAAGACTCAGTAATTGGACATCGCTCTACAAGGTCCTCCGGTGCAGAGCAATAGTCTGCCCAAGAGATAGAAGTGATTTCTAAAAACCTATTTTGTGATTCCTCTTGATAGAGAAGCAACAGGTAGATTTGGTGTCCACTGCTTCTGCAGCTCTTGTGAGGAACGCTCAGAAGTGGAGCTACAGTGGGAACTGGGGTTGCAGCTGTTGGGTGGCTGGGGAAGGAATGGGGCGCACAGCAGGAGAATGACCAGTCAACCCAATTCAAATTCACTTTAATCAGATGGCTATTCTGAGTGGGCCTTGCCTGAAGATGAGGGGGAGAGCAGGACTGCTGCTCCCTGACAGTACACGGATACGTACTGATGTGGAGTGGCCTTGGGGACAATCATAGCCCATGGAACCTGGATCCAAAATGGAGGAATGGTCTTCATATGAGGTATGGTGACCTGACTGATACATGGAGCTTCCTGTTCTGATCTCTTCAACACTGCTTTACGTATGTCCCCATGGCACAGCAGGTGGGGAGGGCCAACCATTCCAGAAATGAAAACCTGGGTTCTCAGAGAAATCTCAAGCTACAAAAGGGGGACCCTTGAAAACAACTGAGGAACTGTTGGTCCAAAGAAACACCCATATTTTCATGAAAACACACTGATTTGGTGAGAAAATGCAACTCAGGAACAAACTGTTACACAACAAAGACAGTACTCTGTCAGCCAGGGCACCGCTCCAGAAGGCTGCCTGGGTGGTGTGGGCTACAGGATATGGGGACGGCCTGGGCTGGACTTTGACACACAAATTCCTCAGCAAGGAGATGGAAAGTCCCAGGCCTGTTTTATGAAAGGGAAACAATTACGATTCAAAGAATATCGAAAAGAAAAAATCCCTGCCTCACCCCACCATAACCATGAAAGAATGAAAAGAGAGACAGACAGACACACACACACACACACAGATGGTGTTCCCTGAAATAAATCTCAGGCTTACTAGGAGGTGGGTGCTTACACTTTCTGAGGCATGATCCCCAACTTTCCAATGCAGCACTTTTAACCCGTAGAGAAGCTGGCAGCTTGACAGGCCGAAGAGTCTTCTGCCAGTTACACCTGAAAATGGCTGCCCAGCTACTCCAAATAAATATGTGTGTGCCCAAAATAGGCAATGGCCACCCAGGAGGCCTATTAAAGGAACCAAAAGAAACACAACACTCAGTAGCAGCCTTTATGTTTTGCTCTGGTTGAGTATCCAGACCTGTTACTGAAGAGGAAACTGAAATCTAAGGGTCCCCCAGAAGTACAGCCAGAGGCCTTTCTGCAGCAAACTCCCCACCTGGGCTGGGAAGAGGTTGCATCCCCTGGAACTCTGCGGGGGCACGTCCCAGTCCCGCCCTGCTAAGAGGTATCCCAGCTTTCTCCCCTGCTGTCCTCCCGATGCCCCAGGCTGTTTTCATGAAAGTTTGTTCCCATGTATTAAAGGAATGACATATACAGAAATGTCGTCTCCTGAGCCCAGTCGGTCATTAGATATCCGCCATCCTCTGTCCTTCAGGACACCGCGGGCACGCATCACCAGGTCCTGAGCTGCCAATGTGTACCTGTGTAGGGAGAAGCAGGGATGAGACCATCAGTGCGGCATCAGGCGGAATCTGGAGTCGTGGAAGCCTGGGAAAGAGGCATCACTACAGCTGTGTCAGCAGTTTTCAAATACCCCTAAAGTCTCCAAAAGTCTAGGCAAGGGGCGCCTGGGTAGTTCAGACGGTTAAGCATCTGCATTCGGCTCAGGTCATGATCTCTAGGTCCTGGATCGAGCCCCACGTTGGGCTCCCTGCTCAGCGGGGAGTCTGCTTCTCCCTCTCCCTCTGCCTCTCCCCCTGCTCATGCTCATTCTCTCTCTGTGTATCTCTCTGTCTCAAATGAATAAATAAAATCTTAAAGTCTAGGCCATCTTTTCCCAAAATGTGGGATGCCTAACGTGAGATTATTCTTTTAAGTGGATGGACAAGGCACCACATATATTAAATAACCTCCTAAATTATTCTGCTGTTGAGTCCTTTGAGGTTTTTGGTGATGTCAAGGAGACAGTCTCCATTTGGTGTGAATCTGTCTTTAATTTGGACCTGCTTGGGCTCATAGCTTTGCTTGGCAAACCATGCCTCACTGAAAAAGTACTTGGGAATCATAAGACCTTTGGTTTTCAGTGTTTATTTTTTGGACCACATTCTTTTTTAGGACAAAGGATAGTTATTTTCCATTTATGGTAGGGGTCAATCTTCTAAAATAAAATTGTTTTTAAAAAGTGAGTTGATTTAAATAAAAACATCAATAGTACATGTAGCATTGGAATACAGTAAAAATGTGAAGGTGTTTTTGGGAAAGGACTGATAAACCTTTGTGTGAACGAGCTATTCACCCACCCTTATCAATGCCATTCTCTCCTCTCGATCAACGTAGGTACGGGGGGGGGGGGGGTCCACCAAGAATTAGAAAGTAAGATTGCTCATAGAGATTTAAACTCGAGGAAAAAGAATGGCTACATTATTAGTCAATGGAAAATATTAATATCTAAAGACCAGTGTGGGAGGGGATTTTGGTGGGTGTAGGCCTGGGTTGGCCTTGAGGCATTAAAAAAAAAACAACAAGACAAAACATTGGCAGGTGTCTATCCAAATACTGATCAGAGCACAGAGAGTCTTAGCTGACAGACTTCAAAGAGATTTAGTTCCGCTGGTACAACCATATTTAGTGTGGATGAATTACTCCCTCAGCCTATATGCCATTAAACATGATTCACCGTTAACTCTGATTTCACGTTCACCAAATAACCTGATTATGATCTGGCTCGTGTAGGCCTGCCTACAGGGAAGGAATGAGCCAGGCATTGTACTTTAGGAATATCAGTCAGTTATATTTCTCCATATAAATGTCAACTGGCACTTCAGTTTCCAGATCAGTTTTGTAAGCTTGTTTAGGGTGAGCCCAGCTCTGACAATGAATCTGTTCTTTGTATGTTGATTAAACCAGTTTCTGAACCTGAAAAGCTAAAAGCTAGACTCTGATAAATCATCAAGAGAATAAATGTCACCCTATAAGGGAGGCTTCTTGGAAGGCTTTAACGACAGACCTTTAACAACAGACCACCCTGATATTACTAGTGGTTTTTCCCTACTTTGGAATGTCTCTGCCTTGCCCTCAGGACTGTGATTTTATGGAATTCAGAACCCCAGAAGGCTCTTCTATTTCTTCTGTTAAGACCCTTTATGGATTTACTGAGTCTCATATTAAAGGAGACCGGCAAAAAATTATTAATTAATTAAATAAAAATAAGAGACTAGCGTCTAGCCCATCATCATAATATTTAAGACTAAGGTCTGCAGCAAATGATCTCAGGATTAAGACTCCAGGACATAAAGTCTTTGAGACTCAAGTCTCCTTGCAGCCCAGGCAGGAGAGGACTGCAGGACACACTCTAGGTGGCAGAGGAGAGGCTGTTTGAGTTAATACAAAATAAATGCCTTTCCTCCTGGAGGGTGGGTGGTGGGTGGGGAGGAGAGACACCTTCTTCTTCTATCTGTATGGAGAGAATTATCAGCTTTGAGGCAGAAAAGTCTTCAGTAGCACTTGAGGGAAGATGCAGCCAGTTAGCCCTTCCGGTGGGTTCTCCTGTTGAGATCAGGAAATAAACAGAAAGGAGTCCAGAGAGGCCTTTGGCTCAAGGGCCAAATAAATGTCCCCAAATCCACATACTGCAGCTTATACTATATTCAGAAGAGTCTCTCAGATGCTCACCCCAGATTACTCTTGGGTTTATATTAAACTGTATATCTGAGAAAGAACCATGCCGGGAAAGGCTACCAACAATATCGGAGTGATGTTTATTATCCTGGTGATTGACCGGGGTCCAGACTTTAGCCTTTCAAGTTAAGAAACCTGGCTGAGTCAATACCGAGTAGATTCATCTGTCAGGGCTGAACACACCCTAACCCAGCTCAAGAGCATGCTAGACAGAGAAAATTGTAGCAAGTCATGATAAAAGGTGGCTGACGGTAAAAGAAAGATGCTCCAAGATGTCAAAAAGCAGAGAAAAGAACTCAAAAGGCCAGCTCTCTGTGGCTAGTCTAGGGAGAGGCGAACTGTCCTGTGGGGCAACGATGGCGAGAGATCAAAATGAAGTGAAGTCAAAGGATGATCACCCTTAGTTCAAGGCAAGAGACCACCCTGATACTGTCACTGCTGGTGACTCTGGGTATTTAAAAATGGTCAAAATTAGCAGTGGTATTTTAAAAAGCAGCATTAGGTCACCTAGAAAAGATGGTTACCCAGGAAACTCATTTCCCTGAGGGCTCTAGATAATTAAGGTTTTATTCTTAAAAATGGTTATTGCCTATTCCAAGATCACTTCCCTCGAGCCTGAATTTCTCTTTACCATCCATTCTGTCTTCCCTTAGGTGCTGAACTTGAGAGAGAAATCCATTTTTGCTTCTTCAATTTCTTCCCTTTTTCCTCCTTAATCTCTTACCAGTAGGCCCAGTACCTCACTCATCTGGCCTCTTACACCTTGACCTAAAAGCTTCTCAGTACTCGTTCAGCTCAACCTTGCTCCAGCACAGATACCACTGACCATCTTCTTTGCCTTTGATGTCTCCTGTCTTCCTGAATTCTTTTTTGGGCGGGGGTTGGGGGGAGGAGTGGGTAGGGGGGACAGCTTCCACTCCACTCCACACTCCCCAGTTCTCCTGCGTCTGGGCTTCCATGACACATGACACAAGCTCTTCTCTCTGATGCTCCTTAAGTTCCTTGGGAGGCCACAGGTAAGACTTAAGAAGAAATCAATAAATATTAACCTATTAACAAGGTAGGACTTGCCCATCTATCATACTGAGTTAATGCGATCCCCAGTCTCTTAGGCAAGAAAAGATGGTCATTTTCAATGCCACCTCCTCACCCTGATATTTTTCAAAGATAAAATCCACAAGATTGAGTAGGACATCTAAACTTTGTATTTTAAAGTGTATTTCATTAGTGGTACATGGCTAATTAAAATAAAATCTAATCTCATAGTTACTAAGATGTAAGCTGTACTTATTGTAAAAACTGATATACTGGAGCTTATTTCTGCCATCACTAATACATATAAATATATATAAAACTTCCTGTGTGTTTTCTGATTATGTTTTTCTTCATTCTTGCTTTCTGAAATCAGGTTGATTGCTTTAACACCTTTTCCCTCCCTCTACTGGTTTAGAAGTGATAGTTAATTTCTTTCATTTTAGCACTTATGCTTAAGTTTTTAACACAAAGGTTAATCAGTATTTATGTCCTCCTTCAGAAAATAAAAGGATCTTAGAATGCCTTCTATCATCTTTCATGTTACTGCCAGGTAGTTGAATTTCATCCTTTTTTTAAAGCCTCTATTAGTCATTATTATCATTTACAATCCATACTTATATAAATAAACCAACATACTAACTTCTGTGGTTTTTGAAATCCATTCCTTCCTTCTGGATTTGATTTTTTTTTTTTTTCTGTTGAAGTCCATTTTTAGAAATTCTTTCAACAATGGTCTGTGAGGGATTAAACTCACCTAGTCTTTGGACCACAAAAATCTTTTATTTTTGCTTTTAATCTTGCATGATAGCTTTATTGGGTATAGAATTCTGGATTGACCATTACTTTTCCCTCAGCAGTTTAGAGATAATATTTCATTTATTGTGACTTCTCTTGTTGGGAAGACATTTCTTTATAAGGAAATATGTTCTCATTGGTAGGTTTTTAAGTTTTTACTGTTATCAATGGTATGAAGTTACACCAAGACATAACAATGAGGATTCATTTTTATCTATCATGGTTGAAAATCTGTTTTACTCCTTCAAATGAGAAGATATTTCTTTGAATCTGGAAAGTTTTCAACTGTGAACTTTTTGAATATTGCTTGCCCTCTATTTTTTTTAATATTTTCTCCTATTAGACCTTCCCCACTTTGCCTTCCAGATTTCCACTTCTTTCCTGTTTTCTTTTTTCTGATTTCTATAAATTCACTAATTCCTGTTTTAGTGGTTTACTCTTCAATCCATTCAGTATAGTTAACTCTTCAACAACACGGAGGTTAAGGGACACCAATCACCACACAGTCAAAAATCCAAGTATAACTTTTGACTCTCTGAAAACTTAACTACTAATAGCCTATTGTTGCCCAGACACCTTACTGATGACATAAACAGTTAATACATATTTGGTATGTTATACTTATTATATATACTGTATTCTTACAATAAAGTAAGCTATAGAAAATATTATTAAAAAATCGTAAGAGAAAACATATTTGCAGTACTTTTTCAAAAAAATCCATGTATGGGGCACCTGGGTGGCTAAGTTGTTAAGCGTCTGCCTTTGGCTCAGGTCATGATCCCAGGGTCCTGGGACTGAGCCCCACATTGGGCTCCCTGCTTGGCAGGAAGCCTGCTTCTCCATCTCCCCCCCCCCCCCGGCTTGTGTTCCATCTCTCACTGTTTCTCTCTGTCAAATAAATAAATAAAATCTTAAAAAAAAAAATCCATGTATAAGTGGACTCATGCAGTTGAAACCCATGTTATTCAAG